TTTTCCTTTTATTTAAGGAGCGGGTACTAGGGATCAAACCTAGAGCCTCAGGCTGGGACTGTAGCTCAGTGGCAGAAAACTTACTTAGCATGTGTGAAGCACTGGTTTGATCTTTAGCACCACATAAAATAAACAAATAAAGGCATTCTGTCTGTGTACAACTACAAAGGAAATTAAAAAAAAAAACAAACCTAGATCCTCATACATGTAAGCAAGTGCTCTACCACTGAACTATACATCAGCTCTTTTCATTTATTTATTTTTCATTTTGTGACAGGGTTTTGCCAAGTTGCCCAGGCTGACCTTGAGTCTGACCTCGAACTTGTGATTTTCTTGTCTCAGCCTCCCCAGTAGGTTAAATTATGGGCATGCACCACCATAGCTGGCTGGAAACTTTTTTGATTAATGTTACTAGTACTTTATTTTATTTTTATTTAAAATAATCACATTTCAGATTTATTATTTCTATTTTTTTAATAAACTTTTCCTTTTGTTTGTCATTCTGCCATTTTTATATCTCATTTTCTCTTTTTAAACATTTTTAATACTTATAGATGGATAGAATATCTTTATTTTATTTGTTTCATTTTTATGTGGTACTAAGTGTTGAACCTAGTACCTCAAGGCAAGTGCTTTGGCACTGAACTACAGCTCCAGCACCAATATCTCATTTTCTTTGGCAATGTCCTGTTTTGTATGGTTTTACTTTGCTTTTGCTAGCTGTTTGTATTGAACCTAAAAATCAATAGGTTTTAGAAACCTAGATATTAATTTTCAAATAAATATGGTTTTGCTCTGTGTTTTTATTGTTGACTTTAAATTTTACTTTATTGTGGTCAAGATTATGTCCAATATATTAATTCTGTGGAATTTAATTAATATTTATTTTGTACTTTGGGTAAGTTTTTGTAAATGGTATCTATGCATTGAAAAGCATTTTCCATTCGCTTTGTGGTTGTTGCAGTTTAGATGATCAAAGTTAAGTCTTTTCCTCTATGTTATATTGGTCTTTTCAAAAAGCCCTTTGCATGATGTGTTGGTTTTACCTTATAATGCTCAGTCTTGTGTTTCTGTATCTCAGCTCTGTGTGGTTAGGAGCATGAAGTTATTTGCTGCAATGTGTTCCTAGTGAGGTTTTTTTTTCCCAATAGCAATCACATGTCTCTCTTTGATCTTATAAATCTATTTTGTATTGATATTTTTATCCCAACTGCTTTTTTTTGTAATCTTTGTTTGCCTTTTCTGATCCTTGATTTTCAACCTCTTGATTTGATTGGACTGGATTAAAAAGGGGGAGAGTGGATAGGTATGGATTAAATGAGATGTCAAATTAGGAACCTAGCTCTGTGATTACATTAAGTGGGTGCTGATTATATTAGAGCAGAACTCAGGTGTAAAGCCAG